TGTGCTAACCGAGCTAACTGAGCTAACTGAGCTAACTGAGCTAACTGCACCGAATTCTGCCATTCAGCTTTCAGTTAGCGGAAATTACAAAATCTTTGTAAAAGAAAGAAGCTTTAAAACAAAACTTTCTCAGTTTCCTACTTTTAGGCCTTTCATCTGTGAACAAATCAATAACAATATCACCGAGCGTCGTTTCGAGCAGCACCGCCATTTTCACGTCCGCAGCTCTCGCGAGAAACACGTAAACACCGTGCGCATGCGCAGTTTGTTGTCTGCGCATGTTTGTAATGGTTGTTTTGGTTCGTGTAGATTAAGTCAGAGTCTGAGCAGAAATGAAGAGTCCAGCTGTTTGCGTTATATTTGTTCTGTTTGTCGCAGAGTCGACGAGCAGCCTGAACACGGTAAGACTCCAAGAGTGAACCAGTAAATGGCGCTGGCGTTCATCTTAGCATTAGCTTCCTGACGCGTCAGGCGTTAATAGAACTTCTCCATATCCTTCAATATAATACTATAACTAATAATAATATATAATAACGTTAATAGAACTTCTCCATATCCTTCAATATAATACTATAACTAATAATAATATATAATAACGTTAATAGAACTTCTCCGTGTTTCTGCTTTTCTTACCTTGAACCGTTCCCTTGGCAGGAAAATGTCCTGATTAATGTGACAGCACTGACGACAGCAGGGACACTTGCAGACTCACGACTGCAAGAGTTCAACAACTTGCAGGTAAAGGGACGTGAGCTCACAGAGCAGCTTGTGTTAGGGGCTTGTTCCAGACGGAGGAGTGACTGGTCCTGTTGGTGTTTCAGCTCCGTTTGAACGTGTCTGTGGGTGAAGAGCACGTCCTGGTCAACCACATCCCAGTGGAGCTGTCAGGAGTCACCAGATTCACCTGCCAGGCTCTTCTCTGTGAGTCCCTCACCGTTTCACATAAACATACTGTCCAAACACCACCTCATGGCTGCCTCTCACGTGGCAGTCAGGAGGATGGGTGGAGGATGGGTGGATGACGGGTGGACGACGGGTGGATGACGGGTGGAGGACGGGTGGATGACGGGTGGACGACGAGTGGATGACGGGTGGAGGACGGGTGGACGACGGGTGGATGACGGGTGGATGACGGGTGGAGGACGGGTGGAGGACGGATGGATTATGGGTGGATGACGGGTGGAGGATGGGTGGATGACGAGTGGATGAAGGTGGAGGACGGGTGGATGACGGGTGGAGGATGGGTGGATGACGAGTGGATGACGGGTGGAGGACGAGTGGAGGACGGGTGGAGAATGGGTGGAGGATGGGTGGATGATGGGTGGTGGGTTGAGTCATATTAAGCAAGAACATGCTGCTTCACCCACAAGGTAAACCGTGTTCATTCTGACACGAGAGAACAATTGATCAAAGAATTTGATTTAAATGTGTAGCAGCTTTTCACAAAGACTGTTTGTTTCATTTTCTTTAGTTGTGTCTTCAAAAATGACCAAGAAGTCACAGTCTGTGTTCTGAGAAAGAACTGTCAGTAAATGGAAGGTGTCTGAAAGACACGTCCTTAAGAAACGGGAGAGAATCCTGGACCCACCTGACGGATCTGTTGACGTCCTCATCAGTTTGTCTGATCAGTCAGTTTGTCTGATCAATCAGTTTGTCTGATCAATCAGTTTGTCTGATCAGTCAGTTTGTCTGATCAATCAGTTTGTCTGATCAGTCAGTTTGTCTGATCA